ATATCTTGCCACATGTAGACACACTTGAGTTGCAGAAGGAAAATGATTATTTTCGTACTGATTGTCATGGTATTGTTATACGTACGGTATGTGTTTCTTAATGTCATGAATTACATTTGTAGCGATAATATTTTTCCTTCTTTTAACATTTAATGATCTTTATTTTTGTTTGTAGAAGGGAAAGGCCAAACCTTCATCCTAGCGTTACGTGGAGAATAAGAAAATGACAAAAAATGACGATGTACTTTCCTTAATATTTTTTTACCATATTATACCATCAAACTATTCTGGTGTAATATTGTTATAACTCAAATTTATTTTTTTTCAGTTTTTTACTGTAATGGTGGATGACATGTTATATCCTTAACATATATGTTATAGTAATGTACTTTCGTTATGCAATGTTAGACAAAGTTGTATTCTTTTCAGTTATTTATCATACTATTCTGTTAAAATAAGTTGTATTCTTTTCATTTTTAATGTCTGATTTGGTGCAATTAAAAGAATAGATGACAAAAAGGGCAATTCGGTCCTTTCTTATAGCTCTTATTCAACACAACTATATTGTTATTTGTTTTTGTTTTTATTATTTTTAGTTGTTTTTGTTTTCTTCAGAAATTGTTTCTAGCTCTACAAAATAAGCAATGTACTTTTGTAAAATGCCATGATTGAACTTTTTGTTCATTTTTAATTCTGCCAAATGATATCAAAGATAATTATGGTCAAATTTAAGAGTCTTCAAATACAATAGTACAACCAGAATAAACATTACATATGTGTCTATATTTACATATAGACACATATAATAGCTGTAATCGTAACTAAATCGTACCTACACACACAATATTTGTTTATTCTTAAATCCAATTCATAATATTTTGACACACATAATAAATGATACATGACCATAAGTAACCAATACTAACTTGTTTTAATTTCTTGCATTAACTAAATACAACTAGTACAGAACCGCCTTATGGACACACAAATATTTAGTGTGACCATATGTATCACCTTTTAGCTACTTTGTCTGTTATGTGGCTAAATAGGCACTAGGTTACAAACACACATAGAACTAACTCATGTCACGATACGTTAATCTACTGTCTCTCATAAAAAAAAGTATGACAATCTTAATCGATACCTGTGGCTGATTGTGACTTATGACCTTAGTGGTCGAGTGTGACTAATATTTTTTCACATTTGGTATAATTAAGTGTGGTTAAAGTCTTGATTATCTATATAATGGCCACACAAACTAATTTAAATGTATCCAATAACAGTCTCTAAATTTTTTTTTGGTGACCTTTGGCCACACTTTTAATAAAAAGTGTCACAGGCCGTTTTTCAGAAAGTGTGACCGTAGGTCATTTTTGTACTAGTGTTGGGTATTCAATTCCTGTGAGTTTCCTCACTATACTATATATTATAGTGTATATCCTTGTATGTTAGGATATAGGGGTGGTGTTGTACTGATTAGAGAACCAATAGGATAGTGATGGTCTAGTAGAGCGCCCTAGGGGTTGTATGTAATCACGTAGGATAGCCCGAGAACTCTTTATCTAGGATTTCTTGCATGTTCCATGTTTGGTGGTGGCTCTAGAGTGGGATCTCCTATTCGAAAGTCTACCTTACATCTGGTTACATTTAGCTATGCATTCCTTTGTGATCTGCCAGTAGTAGGGTAGTGTGCTTTATGAGGCCTGGTATGCAATAGTGAGTTGTTGGACAGGTACACTGGGATAGATAGTCACATGTCCTTATATGTTTACTTTATTGTTGATTGTTTCATATGTTGACATATTGTAGTGTGATTGGGTTGAGGCAGTACTGCTTTTTCCTGTAGGTCAACAAACTCGGGAGCAATCCAGTGTTATGGTGTGAGCCCGAGAGTAATCCAGTCATAAGTTGTGGGCTCAAGAGCAATCTGGTCTTATGTTCTGGGTCGAGGCAATCCAGTCGTAAGTTGTGGGCTTGGGGGAATCCAGTCTTATGTTGTGGTCCCGGTGTACGTGCGTCGTATGTTTATTGTGGTGTGTGGTAGTTTGGGGGTACACACTAAGCTTTGGCTATAGTTGTGGATTAAATGATTTTTAGGTTCAAGTGGTGATCATGGGAAGGCGAAGGCATAACTGTACACATTCATTAGCAACCATGGAGATTCCTCGTTTAACATATTACTCTGATTTTTAGACCAATGTATCATGGAACAAATGGTTTTCTTAAATGATATTTTATAAATATGAAGTTTTACCTTAATTAATAATGGAAAATTTTTGTTGTGAAAATATGACACAACATTAGGATAGAGCCTTATTTGATCAAGGTACTAATGTAGTTTGTTAGTACATTGTGCAACATGTTATATGATATGGTGTTAAGATCATTTTAGCATGAGTGATTTGATATCATTACAGTTTTTTATGAATTTTAATACTTTTAAAGTACTTTTGAGGTACTTGTGAGGAACTTGTGCTTACTGGTTTGTAGCAGTGGCATATGGGTGATTTGATTTATCATTATGTTTTTCGTTTAGGATGTTTGAAAGAGATTAGTCCATAGTGATTTTCCGCACAACATGTAATTTTATATTTCTTATGAAGGTTTGAAGGTTTTTTAATTATAAAGTTTGTCTCAAAGCGGATTTTTGTTAAATATGTTCTGAATTCCTTGCATGAGATTTTTTTTAAATAATAAAACACTCTTGAAAAAAGTTGTTCATTTTTTGTGGCAGTTAAGGTAATTTTTCTGAAATGATGTTGCATTAGTAGTTTTATGTGTTTGTATTTCTGTGGGGGGGGGGGGGGGGGGTCGGGGGGAAGCTCATCTTTATGACAGATGGTTTCCTTGATTTGCAAGTTATCTAATTATATGTCATTATTCTTTTATGAGAAATTAAATATCCTCCTACATTTTCTTACTAATCTTTCTACCCATGCAAAATGGTGACATATGTCATATTTGGATAAAATTATCATTAATTTAATACACTTCTCATCATTTCAAATTGGTAGGAGGATATGTAGGAAGAAAAGTAGGAGGATATTTAATTTCTCTTCTTTTATTATGAGTTTTAGGATCTTTATGTTTCATTGTACAAGACTATAAATACATTAATGTTTCTAGTTATAATTTTTCTAATCACATTCTCTCCTACTCTCTCCACACTGTCGAATATAACCCTTGTCATACATTCTTCTCATTATTGATATTATGTATATAATTTCCTGTGTCTTTTTTCGTAAGGATTTTCACCCGTATACTTGTTTTCTTTGTTGATTTTATCGCTTCTAATGATAGTCATTTATAACGCTCTATATTCCTTTTCCCAACATCTTATTGGTTCTTAATTACAAAATTTGTTGTCCAAATTTTTTTTATTACCCCCTCTTTTTGTCAAGCCTTTGTACACTCATTTTTTTAGGAACTAGCTTTTGACTAAGAGCATGCAAAATACATACTTTAATAAAATATTAAATGAGCTAGTGGAATATAATGTCGTGTTGTCCTTCAATTGGTATGGAGTTGAATTGATATTGAACTTTACAATGGTAATAATAAAACTTTTTTGAATATATGTCATTATTCTTTAATGACGGATGGTTATGACGGATGGTTTCCTTGATTTGCAAGTTATCTAATTATATGTCATTATTCTTTTATGAGAAATTAAATATCCTCCTACATTTTCTTACTAATCTTTCTACCCATGCAAAATGGTGACATGTGTCATATTTAGATAAAATTATCATTAATTTAATACACTTGTCATCATTTCAAATTGGTAGGATCATATGTAGGAAGAAAAGTAGGAGGATATTTAATTTCTCTTCTTTTATTATGAGTTTTAGGATCTTTATGTTTCATTGTACAAGACTATAAATACATTAATGTTTCTAGTCATAGTTTTTCTAATCACATTCTCTCCTACTCTCTCCACACTGTCGAATATAACCCTTGTCATACATTCTTCTCATTATCGATATTATGTATACAATTTCCTGTGTCTTTTTTCGTAAGGATTTTCACCCATATACTTGTTTTCTTTGTTGATTTTATCGCTTCTAATGATAGTCATTTATAACACTCTATATTCCTTTTCCCAACATCTTATTGGTTCTTAATTACAAAATTTGTTGTCCAAATTTTTTTATTACCCCCTCTTTGTGTCAAGCCTTTGTACACTCATTTTTTTAGGAACTAGTTTTTGACTAAGAGCATGCAAAATACATACTTTAATAAAATATTAAATGAGCTAGTGGAATATAATGTCGTGTTGTCCTTCAATTCGTATGGAGTTCAATTGATATTGAACTTTACAATGGGAATAATAAAACTTTTTTGAATATATATATATATATATATATATATATATATATATATATATATATATATATATATATATATATAAATAAGAGAGAGCGATTTTTAATTATATTCATTAAACTTTAATTTATAGAGGTCAATACATAGCATAGCAGGCAAAAAAAAAGATAAATTTGTATGAAAAAAAGAATGATCAATATATGAACAATCCTTAAAACTAAGCCAATAGTAACAAGTAAATTTGAGATCATGCCAAATTAGTAAAGCACGTATATGAACCAATTAATGGATCCAAGGTTATTTGTATTACATGGTAAGTAATTATGCATGATTATTGATCTAATTACGATCCTAACTAGTATATGTTTTTTGTACTCGTAGTACATATATCTTGATCTTCGAGTTATAGAAGATTATATATGGTTCTTTGCCATCCACCAAAAGTGACACTTCTTATTCTTCTCATATATGTTTTCCCTAAGAAAACCATCCATAATTAAAAAATCCCACATTTGGGACGTAAACTCATTCTTCACTTGTACATGAAAAATGCACATTCTTCATTTTGGCTTGTACCCTTATATATATATATATATATATATATATATATATATATATATATATATATATATATATATATATATATATATATATATATATATATATATATATATTCATGGTACAACCGAAGATCCATCATGAAAATTCAAATCATGGGCATGTTGTTGAAGATTTTGCTGGTAAGAAACGAGCGAGGGGCTGAAGTACTCGACCAAGGTGGTATTATTAGTACCATGAGTAACTTCATGTGCATTTCGACCATTTGATTTCACAAGGGGTGATATTATATTGTCTTTGACAACGTTGGAGCCACATTGTCTAGGCTGTGTTTGGTAAAAAATCTTGGATACAACCAATTCACCTTCTTTTTCATCTTCATTGTTACCCAAATGGTATTGATGCATTACCCAATTCGTTTTTTCTGGCTTTTTTTGCTTCCCATAGTTAGCGTAAAGCACAAGTATCTTCTTGTAGCCTTTAACTTTTGTTTTCAGAAAAACTGGCCTAGTCTTGCCAGTTTTATGCCATCTAGTCTCGCTCCCATCAATCTCACTATGCACCTTTCTTCGTTTCCTTGTTCCTGTGGTGTACGCTTTGGATGGTCTATGAAAAAAATGTCGAACCAAACCGTCCTTGCTCACTCCTGCATGTGATTAGTTTCATTTATGAAAGAACTCAGCACATGCCTCATGGACCATATATGCTCACTACTGTTTTTTACTGTAATATCCCGCTCATCCAAAAATTACAAACTTCAGCTTCACAGGTTTTTTTAATGGTGACAATTAACTGGACATGTTGTTTAATAATTAAGAGCAGGAAGCTAATAATAAAATATCGAAAATAGCCCTTTAATAATACATATGTAGCGAACCTGTGAACCAAAACCAATATATGATGACCACTAGGGAGAATAAATGTTACATTTAATTCGACCCTGCAAGTAATTATTTTCATTGTATATATGTTTACATTTTGTTGATGCAGCTATTTTAAATATTGTTTCCAGTAAAGTAACAATTTTTTTCATTAAACAAATATGCAATATGTTTCATTCTAGAATCAAAATACTGAACAATGTAAGTAATCATTATCAATTCATAAACTTAAATACTTATATATAAAAAATATTTAGGTTTTACCAAAGTTTTTAGAAATGTTTGATTTGGTTATCGATTTTTACAACTAACAAAAATAATCTTGGTTGTAGAATAAATTTGTTTTGCATATTTTCTATGTAAAACAACTAGTTACATAAATTTAAAAAATAAAACGTCCTTTCGTAAACAAATATTTATCCTTTAATATAAGGTGTAAAATATTATTAAGCTATTTATTCTTCAAAGCCTTACGTTTTTTAGTTGAATTAATCGAGTGATATCTGAGAAATAATGTACAACTTCTTGTGTATTTTGATCATTTAGAATTAAATGGACCATCATTTAGAAATAAATGCACAACTTCTTGTATATTCCGGTTTGGATATCTCTACTATTAAATATCTTCTATAAAAGAAATCTATAGTACAAATTTATTACCTGGTAATTTCTCAGGATGAGTATAGCAAATTCCATTTTCACCCTCAACTGTAGGTATGAACTCATCGATCAAAGGATGGATCCTATGTGCATCTAAACGCACTTTCGCTTCCAAATGCTCAAGCAGTTCGTGATCACTTGGATCAAACTTCACTCCGGCTGGCAACCCTGGAAGATCATGAATTCGAGCCTGATACAATACCCAATCAGTGAGTCAAATACGTTAATTAAAAAAAGAAAGGTAAACACCAAAAGGGTAATCAACATCATGATCATATAATTAATGAAAAACAAACCTTCTCGTAGCAGTTGATCCGATGACCACATGAGGGGCAAGGCACAGTCTTTTTATTATCCATGATGCTGTTATTATCGTTAGATGTTGGAAATGTTTTGATGATAACTCCAGGCGTGTCACTACAATCGCTGCACCAGGTCATCTGCTAGTTCTCGGGGAGAGGAAAGATGGTTAATTACAGTATCCAAAGAATATAAAGGGAAAAAAAGAAAGCAAAGTCGGTTGCGAGAAATAGTATGTGTAGCATGTGGGCTGGTGGATTCTATTTGTTCTTCAAGATTTGGGAAGGTATATAAGTCTTTATGTTCGTCATCTCTTCTTCCACCTTTAGTGTTTAGTACTGTTGTGTAGATTGCTCCTTTTCACCTATTCTGTACCGCTTTGGTCTTGCCTCAAATTATTGTGTGAAAGATCCGTTTCATTTTATTTTGCATATTTTCATTTAAGGTTCTTTAATTACAAAGTTTATTATCTGATCCACTAGATAATTCAAAAGTATAAACAATAATATTACCATTATGTTGACACACATGAACGAAGCATCATCAAGACATCTACCTTGCTTATACAATATTATATGGATGGTAGAAGGTCGGGAATGATAGCTTGCATGCCAAGTTTTGTCATGTTGATATTCATGTTGTAGGAATACTTCCTTTTCTTTAAAAACAATTATTGGTCTTTATTCTTGGTTAATTCCACTTCCACCCCTTACATTCCAATATATTTTGCAATTAGAAAGCACTTTGTAATAAAAGAACTTGTTGTCGTAGTTACACCAACTTCAACCTTAATTAACATTCAAATTTACATGATTTTGTGTAAAATCTATATAAACCTTTTTTCAACTCCAGTCACACACTACAAAATTATACCATAAACACGTTTTAGTATGGATTGTAAGATTACAAAATAAAAATACAACAAACTATAATATAATAATAATAATAATAATAATAATAATAATAATAATAATAATAATAATAATAATAATAATAACAGTTAAATTAAACAATATTTAAATCATAAACTTAGTTTGTATGGTAATTAAATACTAAATATATAGTGCTATTATCGGCCATATATTATATATTGCTTTCATTCCCAAAAAATACAATATGGCAGTCCGTTGGAGACACCCTTAGAATGTTAAGCATTAGGTTGTTGTCATATCTGAACAAGTTACAAACAGTGTACTGTTAACATATGACCAAATAGAAAATCCAACACCGAAAACCAATTGACCCTTTAGAAAAGTAAATTTGGTATGGCAATACGTTAATAGAAAGTGGAAGACTTTTAGTTTTCGCTTGTGAAATAAGGGAGTGGATAAGTGTTATGGCAAACTATAGGGATTGAAAGTAAACTAAATGATTACGCTGATTAAAAGAAACAAACAAGAATAATACGGAATATCATATACACTAATTAAAAATATTAGTAGAAAAGTATTTGAGTGCAGATGGGGCAACCAGCAGTTGCTCTCTCTTTCTCTCTCCACACACTTCAGTTGGAATGTCATCTTGAAGTATACATTAAGCTAAAACTTTAAGAAAAACAAAAAACATATATACTCTCTCTCTCTCTCTCTCTCTCTC